CTTATCGGCGTATCCAATTGTCGCTGTGGATTTGATGCCCTTACGTATTGTTTTATGGAGACTCGATTCGATATTCAATGTACTGTGAACTCATACACGACCCTTTAAAATTGAATTGGAATTTTTCTTATATTTTTGTATCTTACTTCTTACTTATATTATAAATGCGAATGTGTTGATGGATGGATATTTGTTTTAAGCTATCTCCAGAATAGCTGCATGAACTTCGATGTAATTTGGCTTGTATATAGAACATAATCTAGAAAAAACACATAGGCTATTAATTAAAAACTTTTTAATTCGAGTCGCGGGTGACAGCTATAATTTCGAATGTGAAGATGGATGGATGGATATTTGTTTGAATTTATCTCCAGAACAGCAGCATGGATCTCGCTGGAATTAGCATAGATGTAGAACATATCCTGGAAAAACAAATAGGCTACTCATTAAGTTTTTTTTTTGTTTCGCGCAGACGGAGTCGCAGGCGACAGCTAGTATTACCGAACATTCCATTATCTTTTAAAGCGAGGATTTTGATTTCACAGAAACGTATAGCTTTTAATTATTCAATATTTTTACGCACTAACGTAAAGCCGAAACTCAATTATTGATATCGAAACATTTTTTAATTATCGATAGTTTTTTTTAATTAATATTTTTAATCGATTTGGTCTTAATTTAATCGATTTAAATATCGAAATAGTTTAAACAAAAAGTCGATACTTTATAAAATACTTAAAATTATTTTCAGATAGTTTGCAACAATCGAATATAGATCTCAAACGTTAGTAATTAAGGTACCAATATAAGATTTAAAATAGGCATCTTAAACAATCGAATATTGCTACACTCACTTAAAAAACAATGTCAAGTCAAATGTAAGTTTTCATAACATTTCAATAGATTTGATTGCTTCAAAATTAATATTAATTATGAAAACGGAATGAAAGCCAAATTAAAGTAAGAGGTAAACTTACTTTTAATTACTATAAGATTTTTATTATAATAATTTCTTAAGCTAATTTTGATCTACTTAACAATTATTAAAGTATCTTTTTATTAAACTTTACTACGCTAATTGGAATTCGTTCACAATTTTTATCTTGTGCATTTTATTTGTCATTTATCTAAAAATTACTAACTAAAATTCATTACATACGATTTATTTTCAGACATTATACGTAAAAAAATATAACTCAAAATAAAAGTTTTTTTTTTAATTATTTCTTTATCTTTCCCAAAATTCTAAATCTATAATCAACTTTATATCCATTCTTCTTCGCGTGCTGATTCAATGCTTGAGTGATGATTTTAATTCTATTCAAAACGTCTGGCATCGTTAAATTCTTTAGCGTCCTTACCTTATGTCTTGGTAACGTTTTATAATAATTCTTTTGTAGTAATGCTTTGTGAATATATCGAGGCATATCTGTAAATAATACATAAAAATTAGAATTGTGATCCCCAAATATATTAATATTAACCCCCTACGAAAGTCCCGGTAGAGGTGTCCACTGACAGCAATCGATATTGGCGGGTCACAAGCTAAATAATAATTAATAAATATGGGGTGTATACGATCAATAAAATTAGACATAAACTTCTTAAAAGAGACTGTACAGAATTGGTTTTAAAAACGAATTAAATGACGTCATTCTGAGCAAGTCCATTTACATTATCTTTCTAATATTATAAATGCGAATGTTTAGATGGATGGATGTTTGTTTGAAGGTATATCCAGAACATCTTCATGGATATATCTGGACGAATACATAGGATACTAATTATGTTTATTTTTAATTCAATAATTTAATTAGTAAATTATAAAAGAAAGTACTTCTTACCTTCTGACATAGAAAATTCAAAAGCAAGCACTGGTAATACCGAAAGCAGTGTAAAACTAAGCAATATCCACATGCTTGAGTATTTCAAAGTGCCATTGTATTAGAACTTATATCGTGTTATGAAAATTGAAAGTGTTTCAAAACATTCTATGTTTCCTCAGAGTACGACAACATTAACCAGCGAAATGTTACAAGACGGTTTAGTTTTACTTTACAACGCGTTTATTTT